GAAACAATGGTGATCAGTGATTGGTTGTTATGAAACAATGATGATCAGTGATTGGTTTTTGGAAACAATGGTGATCAGTGATTGGTTGTTAGGAAACAATGGTGATCAGTGATTGTTAGGAAACAGTGGTGATCAGTGATTGGTTGTTAGGAAACAATGATGATCAGTGATTGGTTTTTGGAAACAATGGTGATAAGTGATTGGTTGTTAGGAAACAATGGTGATCAGTGATTGGATGTTATGAAACAATGGTGATAAGTGATTGGTTGTTATGAAACAATGGTGATCAGTGATTGGTTGTTAGGAAACAATGGTGATCAGTGATTGGATGTTATGAAACAATGGTGATAAGTGATTGGTTGTTATGAAACAATGGTGATCAGTGATTGGTTTTTGGAAACAATGGTGATCAGTGATTGGTTTGTTGGGAACAGTGGTGATCAGTGTTCATCTGAGATCACCAAGTGAAACTCAGTCAGACTTTACACACTGGTGGTGAGTTGAACCTGCTCTCTCTGCTTTTTTAAACAGCAGCTGTGATGTGAAGCGGAGAGCTCTATCAAGTGCAGGACACCAGCATCTGCTCAAAAAGTTGCTTTAATTGTAATGAATCTCTCTTTTTTAAAATAAATTCACTAAATCTAGCAATAAAATTGCTAATATAGTAACAGTGGTCATTGTCTGGACACAGTGGCTGACATATCCCTTCTCCTATTTCAAACCCAAAAGCGAAGAAAGGAGTCTGAAGCGACTGGTGTTTGCAATCAACACGTTTTATTTGACACAACTGCATCATATAAGAAATGGGTCAACTTCACAACATAATCAATGTCTATAAACACCCCTGACACACAGCCATGCACATCTTCTTTCTGAAAAGAACATAAGATAGAATGGAGAGAATTGCAAACTGCTGTGAGTTCACCCAGGTGAGTGTAGACAGAGAAAGTAGTTGCTGCAGTAACCATTCACAAGTGTATTTGTGGCTCAGATCTAATTAACCCACAGGGAGTATAACAACACACCTTCTCATATGACCTCTGACCCCAACACCTGCCAAGTGCGCTCCCATCTCTCTCATTACATAGATGGAATTGCTTGGTGCATAGCTTTATGTATTAAAGCATGCAATGAGGACCATGATTGCATGATCTGTGTGTGTGTGTGTTATTGACTTACAGTTTATTGACTCAGGCACACAACTCGGTCAGTAACACTTTACAATAATGTTCCTTAGAACCTAGTAACTATGCAAGAGCACATCAAGAACAATTGTAGTAACTATTTGAAATTAGTATTTTGAAGTGATATTTGAAATTAGAAAGACTGGAACTAGTACATATTTCATTCATATTATTATTTCTGCCTGCGATGAGAGGGATGGCAAGGAAGCCTACTTGACTTGATATTGGGAGATTTCTTTAGTATTTCTTTAGCTCCAACTACTACGAGTGACCTGTTTTATGCTGCTGATCTACACTAATATGCTAGTTAAAACCTTATGGAAATATACCATATATAAGGGAAAGACCAACATAAGGTGCTGCTGTGGCCACCATGAGCCACCAAAAACAGTTTCAGTGCATCTTGACATGGATTCTATTAGTCTCTGGAACTGTACTAGAGGGAGGAACACCATTCTTCCAAAAGATATTCCCTTATTTGGTGTTTTGATGATAACGGTGCTAACACACTGCTACAAAATCTCCCATATGTGCTCAATTGGGTTGAGGTCTGGTGACTTTGAAGGCTGTAGCATAGTAAGATTTAACTCTCATTTCCTAATATAACTACTCTTTCCAAACCTATACTGACCCAACAGAGTATTCATTAATTTTCACTGCCATTCATATATTAGTAGTTACCACTTACAGTAAGGAACAATATGAGCTATTGGCTAAATACCAGATATGTACAATGGAAGACCAAGAGGGTCAAACAGGTTTGTGTTGTGGAAGGACATGGAAGTGATGTGAGAAAATTAACATAAATAACATGTTTTATAGTCTTTGGCTCAGGCTGCTTCTTCTCCTGGAAATGTAGAAACAAGCAAATTGTGCTTTAATCTAGCTAGAGCATGGTGTGCAACACAGCATCAAGATGGTGGTACACCATCAGCCAAGCATTTATAATGACATTTAATA